AAAAATGAGGACCTAATGCCGGGGGTTTAAGTGGAGAGGAAATGTTTTGAGAATGATGAGGGCAATGAATGTACAAATGCGCTTTACACAGTTGACATGTGTATGGATTGTGATAAGAGTTATATGAGCCCCTAATGAAATGATTTTTAAAAAAAAGAACTTTAGGACCCAGAGGAAGCTAGGTAGACAGAAGTGCCCTTTGCTGGACCATCAACATGGATGGAGAAGTCCGTGTGGGACTTCTGAGTCTGCTGTGTTCGCCTAGTCCAGTGGTTCTCAACCTCCCTAACGCTGCGACCCTTTCATACAGTCCTCGTGTGGTGGTGACCCCCAACCATAAAATTCGTTTCGTTGCTACTTCCTCACTGTCGTTTTGCTACTGCTATGAACAGCTGACCCAGACCAAGCTTATTCGTTCCAGTGCCCCCTTTCCAGGAAAAACACAAAACAAAAATGTAAACAGTACCCCCCTGGCAATTAAACACTTGTTCTGCAGGCCATGACCCAGGATGGAGTGGAGCCATCTGCTTTTGCAGACCCCGCCCCCCCAGTGCCCCCATCGTTCCGTGTCCCCCTGGGGGTGGTACCCCCAACTCTGAGAAACACAGACCTAGACCATCAGATGCAATTAGACACTCAGGTTAGAGGTTAGTTAGCGTGAGGCTAGAGATGAGCGATTTGGGAGTGGCCCTCATCAAGCCAGGAGCTAGGTAAGCACTCAGCTGCTAAGGGGAAGAAAGGTCAGCAGTTTGGGAGAAAGGTGTGGCTGCTGACTTGAAACCCAGTGAGGCAGTTCTACTGCGTCTGCAGGGTCACCGTGAGTCGGAATGGACTTTATTTTGTTTTGTTTTCCTCTGAAAGGCAGAAGGTAACTAGTGGAGCAGCAGATAAGACCATCAGAAAGGTCCGTGGCTGGGGGGACACTCACCTCTCAGAGGAGGGTCTTGGTGAAGAAGACCAAGAATGAGTAGTCAGAGAGGCAGGAGGTGGCTCTGGAGGGGAGGGCGACTCAGAGGCCGAGGAAGAGGTGCCCCAGGAAGAACCCCGTTCTTGGAGGCAGACGTCAGATGGACCTGTGATCTGGTTACGGCCCCTCTACCTGCCAGCGAGGGATGCTGGGCACGTTCCTTAACCACGGCGATTCTCTTTCCAGAAGATGGATTGGTTAGGTGTCAAATGCTACACAATAGAGGCAGGATGAGGACAATTAGACTTAGGGCTCCCTGAGGTAGACTGGTTTCATCTTTCCCCGCTGGTCCTGGGCCCTCGGTGAGAGGTGGAGTATTTGGTACCAAGAGGGACTGACTGCCCCAGAGGGAGGGCGGGAAGAAGCAGAGCCGCCTTCGGTGGTCCTGCCTGGCCCTTCACCCCTGCACTGATGCTTGATTTCAGATGCTGCCACCCCAACGTCTTACCTCTGTTCGGCTTCTGCACTGGAGCCCGGTTCCAGGGTTTGATCCACCCGTACATGGCAAACGGCTCCTTACAGGACAGACTCCAGGTAAGGATCTGGATCGTGGTCAGAGAACTTGGGGCTCAGCAAGGACCTCGGGGAGCCCAGAGGGGAGAGAAGCCATCCAGAGGGGAGACCAGACAGGGCTCAAGAAGATCAGATAGGGGTGGGGAGGAGATAAGATCTGATAACCAACCTCAGATGAGTAAGCTATAAACCTATTTGGCAAGAGCATCTTATTCAAGTCCAGAACGAGACAAGGTTGTCCCCCTAACGCTCATCTCATCAACGTTGTTCGGGAAGCCTTAGCCAGTGCAGCAGGGCAAGAGGAAGAACCAAGCCGTGAACGTGGTGCACAGGGGGACGTAGACTTTAATCTACCAACTATGGGCGCGCCAACATGTGACGGACATGAGAACTCGCCACGGCATATTATTCCCCACACAGAAAAAGGAAGTTCTTGAACCTGCCAACACTTGGACGAACTTTGAAAGCATTATGCTGGGTCAGAGAAGCCAGACACGGGACAAATACTGCATGTGCAACCTGTAAACGAGGCAGGGGCACAGAGACCAAAATGGACTCATGGTCACCGGGGTCTGGAGGGAGGGGGAGGGGAGGTGTTGCTGCTGCTTGCACGCAGAGTTTCTGTTTGGCGTGATGAAGTCGCGTTAGAAATAGATAGGTGCTGGTTGACCACCATTGGGAATGCAGTGAATACCACTGAACTGTGCCCCCCAAAAGGGTGACCATGGCGAATTGTATGTTACACACACTTCACCACTGATTTAAGGAATGTGCTTGAATACCTCTGGAAAGATACACAAGAAACTGTTCCCTCGGCCTCCCTCGGGGTGGGGGGTGAGCCGGCAGCTGGGGCACAGGGTGGGGGAACTTTGACTAGTTGTTCTTTTGTGTGTTCTGGGTGTTAGACCACATGAGTATAATACTTGTTAAAGCTTAGAAATGTTAAAGCTCCCACGCTCCTCTACGTAAACATCCTCAAACCGAGGGCCGGGATTCCACAAGGGACCAGACAGCAGTTGTTCCTGGTGTCCTGGTGATTTCTCGCCACTCTGAGCTCTTCTGAGCACCAGACACGGAGATAGGGCTTCAGCCCGTCTGCTCCTTCTGTCCCCTCCCCAACCCAAGAGGGCCCCCTGCTCTCCAAAGGGGAGTCTCTGGCCCAAGGGAGGTGAACCAACCTGACCAAAGGCACCGGACTGAGCAGGTGCAAGGGATAGGTTTTGATTGGGTGTGTCTGGCTCCAGATCTCATTGAAGAACAAAAGAACTTGCCGGACCGGTTCTAGGGTGGCCAGGGGAGGGGCTCACACAGCACTTGAACAGCAGGCCGTGGTCTAGCCTGGGAGAGAGTCTGTCCCAGAGCAACGGAGGCGGTACCTGGGAGTAGCAGGGGAGGCTTGAATTCACCTCACAATCTCCGGCAGCCCTTTGTCAAGGAAGTCTGCCCAGAGACATGCCGAGTCGCACAAGGACGGTCCCCAGGGCCCCTCGAACTAGACTGTTGTGCTTAAGCCCCAGCCATGTAATAATAGAAAGGGCTGCAGTTTACTGCTATGCTTGGCGCCATCCTCCCTTGGTGTGTGCTCCCTAGCCCGGAATTCCGACGTAAGGCAAAGACACAGGATTCATAGTTCCATTGTACTCCTGAGGACTGTGAGGCCCAGGGACGTACAGTGTGTTTCCCACAGCACACAGCCTGTGCGGCTGGTGTGTGTCTGAGTCCCTGCCCTGCTGCAGGGGTGGGAGGCCTAGAGGAGCCAAGGGCTCTGCCATCAAGACATAAAAAGGTACAAGTGTGAGGCTTTTTCTCCCCCCTCAGGGCAGCCCAGGCTCTCTGCCGTGGCCCCAGCGCATCAGCATCTGCTCAGGGCTGCTGCGAGCGGTGCAGCACCTGCACGGCCAGGACATCATCCACAGCAATGTCAAGAGGTGAGAGCGCTGGGCCTCTGCAGGCCAGGGTGGGGAGGGGCCTCCCTCTCTGTCACTCTCTGCCCGTGGAGGTCTGCTTTCAGGGTGTCTGGATCATGCTCTCTGAATGAACCGCTTGTCTGTCCCCACCAGCGCTCTGCCCCTGTTGCCAAGGGCCAAGCCCTCTGGTATTTCCAGCTCGTGTGCAGTCTGCTTGGTAAAAGCCACTCTGTGTCTTGGAAGCGCCTGCAGTCAGCTGTGCACCCCAGCAATGCACGCCACCCTGCTCCAGCCACCCAAGAGCCTAAGAACCCCTCCTGGGCCTGGCTGCACGGTGAGAAATTCCAGAAAATACCAGCAAATCTGGTCCGAATGGGAGCTGTAGAACTCACACTTGGCCAGAGCACTTTCCCGGGGTACAAGGTTGCCCTTCCCCGCCTCGCTCTCCTAAGACACGCTGAGATGAAGTCACCACTGACCCTGCTCTCCTGATTCCGCCACTGGCCTCTGCTGGTCTGCTTCTTTCTTGAGTCCCTGACCACCCCAAACTCTTCGACCTACAGGTAGAGGGTCACCTGGCTACCAACAGAGGCCGTGCCCCTCCCCCCATGCCCGCGACATTCAAGCCTGGGGGGAGGGTGCCCATCCTCATTTCAGCCTGTGTTCTAGCTCTTCATTGTGAATGAGGTAAAGGTGTACAGAGCACATCGCAGGTTCACGAGAGACGTTCCACACGCGTTCTCAGCTCATCCACTGCGATTCTCTTAAGGTTTTGTCATGGGTCCCACTTCTGCCCCGTGTGTCCGGTTCCCCAGTCCTCCTCCTCTCCCAACCCTTTCAACCATGAGTGGCAGATCTCCCTAACACGGGGGTGAGTTCAGTTCCAGACGAAGGGTCATTAAAGGCCATAGTCTTGGGGCTCCCACCAGTCTATCCAGCCTATCCAAGGCTGTTCCCCTTTATGATTTTGATCTTTCCCATCTCTCTCGGACCTTGTCACGGGGTCCCTTTCCGAGCAGTTGGTAGGGGGAGCGGGGCACCATCTAGTAGCTAATCTAGTAATCTAGTAATTGGATTCTAGTTTGTCTGCTCTCCGGGCCGTGGGGACTGATGTCCTGGGGTGGGGGTGGGGGGAATCAGTGTCTTTGGGTTCCTTCTCTGGAGAGTGAGAGACCGGTAGTTGCAACTGAGATGGCTTGGCTGCTCACGAACCTAAGGCACTACTTGCCCTAATGGGATGTAGAGCATTATCTTCACGGACTGTTACAGAGGAGCGATTTTATTAACTCCTCGGGATTCTATTGCAGGGATGTGCTCACACACCATTTACTTACCAATTATGATCGTGGTTCGGGGCCCTGGGGGGGCTGTCAATGGTTTGCTCCTGGCTGCCAACGAAAGGCGAGCTGTGTGAACACAACAGCTGTCTTCACAGTGCCGTGGAAGCAAGGCCTGGGGAACTGACCGCTGCCAATATCACCCTGAGGTGGCCTTTCAGTTCAGAACTCATCACACTCCCAGAAGTAACCTTTCAGCTGGCTAATAACATGGCTCAGCAAATAAGCAATCCCACCGATGAGCACTGTGCTCCTTGTAAATAATGGTCTGTCTGAGCCCAAACAGTGAATGCTTATCCTAGAGCAGAGGTGGGCACAGGGAAGCTAGATTAATAGAAATGGAACAACCAGAATGGAAAGACTGAGCAGGCTGATAGATTGTGGGGAAGAAAAAGAAAGGGACACTGAACAATGTGTACCGACATTGTAAAGAGGGCACCTTTCCCCAGAAGAATTGCACGAACAACCTTTCCCCTTTTTGGAGTTAGCTCTCTGGGGTTATGTGGCTGGGTAAAGGGTATTTTTCTCATTCATTTCATTTCTTCGATTCCATTCATGTTCAGGGACAAAGGATGGTTCATTTAGACGTGAGGCCGCTGGGCCAGCAGGGCTTAGGGTCACAGCAGTTTGATAAGGGATCTACCCACCACAGCCTCTTGGGCTTAGCAGGCTGAGGTGGGTCCGTGTGGACATCTGGGTCCAAGAGGCTGACCTCCTTGGCCACACTGAATGCCTTCCTGGGGCAGCAAGGCTGATTCTTCACCCCTGGTCGTTGCTGTTTGGGTTGCATTCCATGGCTCAGACACTGTGTGAGGGTCTTACGACCTTGTTCATGACTGAGTTGTTTTTGAAAGGGTCGCCATGGCAACCTCCCCTTGCAGCTCTTCCTTGTTCTCTGCTTGCTTTTCTGCAGCTCCAACGTGCTTCTGGACCACAACTGCACCCCCAAGTTGGCTCATCCGAGAGCACCCCCAGGGCCAGTCAGCAGGAAGTCCAAGTACACCCTGATGAAAACCCACCTCTTCCAGGCCTCCGCTGCTTACCTGCCGGAAGATTTCATCCGGGTGGGGCAGCTGACGAAACGAGTGGACATTTTCAGCTGTGGAATCGTAAGAGCCGCTTTCTCTGCTGAGACGGGCGGGGCTGCATCCAGTTATCCTTCCCTGGGCTCCTTTGTGAGCACAGGAAGTGCTTTGTCAGCACCAGCACCGGAGGTAGCGGCTCGGAGACCTGATCCATCCAAGTGCCGCAGAGGTTGGCAAACTCAGGCCCACAGACCAGACCTGGCCCCTGTGAACGGAGAGTGGCTTCTACACTTTAAAACCAAAACAAAAAGGCACATGGCGCAGCGACTGTGTGTGTGACCCGCAAAACGCCCACTATCTAGACCATCCGTTGTCTGCCCATTCAGTCAGGATCGATCCATCCATCCATTCATGCCGTCCGATTACTCACCCATTCTTCACTCAGCCACCTAATAAGCCCCGCCTCCATCCCTGACTGGCATTACCATTTCTCAGCCAAACTGCCGTCCCTCCCACAGAGTTCCCTGTTCAGTGTAGCCGTTGTCAGTGCATGTTTCAGCAGAAACAAGTTTTCTTGTGTGTCACAGAGGGATTTGTTTTCGAGCAACCTTGGGAAATACTGGACGTAGCAAAGTCGAGCTGGTTTTTTTGTTGCCGGAAGAACCAGCCCTTGCATATGGCAGTGAGCGTTGTCAGTTCACCCCCGATCCCCAAACTCCCTGCCACTGCACTCATTCTGACTCATAGTGATCCTTCCTAGGGCTTCCCAGCCTGTCCTCTTTACAAGAGCAGACGGCCTCATCTTTCCCTCTGCAGTGACTGGTGGATCTGAGCCACTGACCTTGGGGTTAGTAGCCCATTGCCTGGCCCGTGGCCACCAGAGGAAAAGCAGCACACAGCGGTTCCCAAATGGATTGGATGGTAGAGCCCTGTTTTCTTAGCATCTCTCTCTCTCAGTGTAAGCGTCCCCCGGAATCCAGTTTGGAAATGCTGCCTCAGAGAAGTGAGAGGCTGTGGCTTTGAACCTCTTCTCTGTCACCACACTTCCCTGCCATCTCCCGCTCCCACGGCCGTCCACGGTGCCTCTGTACAGGGTAGACCTTTGCGTGGACCCCGCTCCCCTGAGATGGACACAGCAGTGTCCGCTCATCCTTTTGGATGGGTTTCAATGGAACTGTCTAAAGAACCTGTTACCAATAAGGAACACACACGCTCAGCCTCCGTGCTTTCAATTGATGGGATTTTTGGATGGGCAGCTGTGGAGTCATTAGCAGGGGGAGGGTTGTGGTGATATTTTCTTGTCTCAGAATTTGGGCAAGTACCTCTGCCGACAAAGGTCGGGGCTGCGCTTGGAGCCCAGGCTCGGCCCCCGAGCAGAGGTGCGTGACTCTGGGGCAGGATCTGCTGCCTGGCCTTTGGCGAGAGCGTGTGAACCATGGAACCCGTGTTCTCTGCAGGTCTTAGCTGAGGTCCTCACTGGCATCCCTGCGATGGACAACAGCCGAAGCCCGGTTTACCTGGTAAGGGATCCAGTCACCGCTGCCTGGCGGTATGTTTCGCCTCATAGCAACGTCCCACCCAGAGTACCGAGGGGGCCGGGGCCCTTCCGCTTCACAGATGTTAGCGAGGCCCCCGCCAGGGTGTGAGATGCACCTGGAAACATCTACCAGCAGCACAACTGGTTTCTCGTGGCTTTTCCGCCCTCATTTCTCCTCCACAGTTTAGGCAACCAAGGCTGGCCCTCAGCGTGGTGAAGGTAGTTTAAGCCTTTTAAGCCCCTGATTCCTGCAATAAAAACATTAACTTTGATTTTTTTAAAGTACTAACATCTTCTCTCTCTCTCACACACATGCACACGCACACACAGCCTGACCCTACGTTAGACACTTTCTATCTGGTATCTTTTTAGGGCATCTCGCCTTCCCAGTGGGTTTGAGAAGGCCCTCCATTCGGTTCCAGGTGAGGACAACTAGCCCCGACATGTACCTGGGATCTGAGGCTCCTGCTCAGTGCTTTTCTCAGGCGGTGCGGTGCGGTCTCACAACCTGAGCGAGCCCCAGGGCACACTGCCCTACTTGGAGAGCTGGGATCGGTCAGTGGGTCCCAGTGGAGTTGCTGATCCCTTTGTCACAATGTTCCCAGCACGCTCTCCCAGATGACTCTGTGATCATTGCTCAGTGAGATTCATTACTGCCTTACAAACCAAATACTCACTGCTGGGCCAAGACCAACTCCTAGTGACCCCGGAGGACAAAGGAGGACCACCCCTGTGTGTTTCCAAGACTGCAAATCTTCCCAAGAGTAGAAAACCTTATTTTTCTCCCATGGAGCGGCTGGTGGTGACGCACCGCAGACCAACATGGCTAGCAGTCCAACACACTACCCTCTACGCCACCCAAAACCAACCAAACCATCGCTGCAGACTCGCAGTGACCCGACAGAGCCGCCCCTGTGAGTTTCTGAGACTGTTACTCTTCACAGGAGTAGAAAGCCCTGTCTTTCTCCTTTGGAGCAGCTGGTGATTTCAAACTGCCGACCTGTGAAGTGAGCAGCCCAACTTGAAACCACTCTGATTCCAGGGCTCCTGAAAGGAAAAATACCACCATCCTTTCCGTCGAGCATGCAACTGCTGCACCACCAGTGCACCTTATTTTTAAAAAGATACACGTCAATAATGCATACTTTAGTGTCTAATGAAACAGACATTTAAAATATATACTATATATCTAATAAGGTGCCGTAGTTTGGGGCTTTTAAATTTTAAAAATGTATATATATATAAAATAAGTATACATAATACTATCAAGCCATGGTATTTTCAGTCACTTATATGCACGTGAAAGTTGGACATTGAATAAGGAAGACTGAAGCAGCGTGGATGCGTGTGCACTGGCGCTGGTGAAGAACAGTGAAGCAGCACGGATGCGTGTGCACTGGCGCTGGTGAAGAACAGTGAAGCGGCGTGGATGCGTGTGCACTGTGGC